ACCTAACATAATGTTTTGCACATAATAGCTTGCCTTAAATTTTTGATAATTTATAACAAATAGCCTTTAAGCAGGAAAAATAAAAACTGTCTTTTCAGATCCTTCCCCGATAATGACCCCTGTTCAACCCCTTCCTAGTCTGACCACCTGGATTAGTTTAGAGTTTACAAAATAGTCTTCATTTCTGTAAAGTTTATTTGGTTTTAAAATTTTCTCTGAAATCTCAATTTAAAGGGTCGTCAGTAGGTCAACTGTTTAAATATCTCTACAAGCAAAATAAACAGTGAGTCAAATTACCTATTCATTCAGAAGCCTTTGAATTCCTTCTATCCCTTCACCACTCCTTTTTATTGTTCTCACTCATTTTATCCCTGTGGCAAGAAAAGTTAAATGAGACCAAAAAAAAAAACAGCTGATTAGGGCAGATGAACAGAGCTCAGAACTATCTTCCTAAGCCCAATCAAGTCTTTAAAACAGGTCGATTTCATTTTCCATAGACAGCCTGGAACCCGCAGTATAGGTGACTTTAAAACCTCCTTTGTTCTTGCTTTCTGGCTGAGCTTTAGGTTTCTAATGCCGAATAAATAAGATGGAAGAATAAGGAATAAGCAAGCTTTTTAGAGTATTAATGTTTTCCTGATTTTTTATACCTCCCTCGAAAATCTCTCAGTAAATTATTTCCATGGGGTCTTCAATGTGGCAGCATTGTGAAGGAGGTGATGATTCATAACAATATTAGTCAGAGAGGGAATGAGGCTGGTGAATCTAATTCAATACTCTATTCACCACACGCACACACACACACACACACACACACACACACACACACACACACACAGAACAGCAGCGTAAACCAACTTCTCAATGAACACTCCACTCACTGACCTGATGGGTCAGGATCGGTTCTTGAGTTTACGGCTGCTGCCTTTGGGGTCCTTTTGGTAGCATTCAGGCCTTTACTATTCTTCCTGCACAGAAAATCTGGAATTTATATTCTGTCCCTTTTACCTCCATCTGTTCCTACCAAAGGCCTGCATTAGGGCATGGCACTCTTGCAAAAGTAGTATGTGTGTGTTTCGAGCACTATATTTTTTCAGATGAGGGAAGGAGCAAAGAGAATGACACCACAAACTAGTGGTGGTCGCAGGTGGAGGTAAGGCCTGGAGATCTGACCTGCAGGTGGGGGGCAGCCATCAGGGAATCTTGAAGCCCTATAGTCAAACTGTGGGTGAAAAGACCTCAGGCTCAGTGTTAACCGTTCAACATTTAGGGATTCCCAGATGTTGGGCACAATGCTAGGTGCTTCAGGTGCTCATGTGGGCTGAAAGAGAAAGGATATATTAAAAAACTAGAGCATGCAAATAGCATATCCAGATTACTGTCTCATCAAAGTTATATACATGTAACCATTAGTAAAATTATGTTCTAGGGTAAAAACATGTAAAAATAAATAGAAAAACAAGCCCGCAGTAATAAAGTAAGATGCCCTACCTAACCAGAGAATGCTTTTGTCCTTCTTGATCAGTAGCTAGAAGTTTCTGACTTGGCGTCCCTGGACACCCCACAAATGGAAGTGGTCATGATTAACGGGCTCTGGTGAGATGACAAGGAAAGTGGGAGCTCAAGAGACTCTGGGAGAGGGGAAGCTAATTATGGATATTGCAATGTCAGCATTCCACCTTCCCAGGGGAAACTTGAGTAAAATATCCCAGGCAGGCCATAGGCCAGCAACTCTAATGGGAGTGTAGATGATGTGTCGGAAATAAGGAAGAGATCAGATTTCAGCAATTTGGAGCAGAAAAGCATGGCCTCTGCTAATTCCAAAAAGGCAGGTTGAGCACGTTAGGGCACAGTTACACCCGGGATCTCTTGAGCAACAGCATCTGGTTTACGTCATGTGCCGAAATGTCCTGGAACACTAGAAAAACTCTTCTGAGGCTTAGTAGGTGGGTTGGAGGTGCTGATTTATAGTGTTCCCATCTTTGTGGCTTGATGTCATTATAATCAGCCAATTCTATTCTCTATTGCTCACTCCATCATTAATATTCATAATCTCTTCCTTTCCCTTCTTTTCCTTTTATTCCTGTTTTGTACATTTGCTTAAAGCAATAATTCTTAAGTATGGTTCCCAGACCAGCCACATCAACATCACCTGGAAACTTATTAAAATGCAAATTATCTGGCCTCATTTCAAATTATCTGGCCCCACCTACTGAATAAGAAATGCTAGGGCTGGGTCTCAACAATCTGTGTTTTAATAAGTCCTCCAGGTGACTCTGATGCCTGTTAAAGTTTGAAAACCACTGGCTAGAATTAGAGTTGTCCAAGGTAGTAGCAGATGGTAGCTCAGGAAAGGAAGGAGGTCTGAAGGAGATGTCAATGAATATTTATCAGTAGTCTTTCTTATGCTCCCTGTGGTGGAGACAGCTAGTTGCCTTACAGATACTTGTTCTAATTTTCCCTCTCAAAGGAAATTGGACTTTGAGCTAGGTACATTGTCCCCTGACTACAGACTACATTTCCTGTCCTCCCTTGCAGCAAAGTGTGGCCATGTATCTCAGTTTTGACCAATGGACTGCAAATGAATTAGTCATGTAAAAGAGGATATGCTTTTCCACTATCTTTGTCCATCCTGCTACTGGGAAATAAATGTGATGGCTAGAATTATGGCAACTCTTTCAGACCAAGTGGACAAAGACTATATCAAGTTTGACTCCATCTAGACAACTCCATCTAGAACTACAACATGAGTTTTGAACTGACCTACCTTCAACTTCTCTTTAATGGGTGAGAGAGTTATTTGAATTACTATTTTCTGGGTCCCATTACTTGTAGACAAACTTAATCCTAAATAATGTCATCCTAGTGAATCTATAAAACAATACCCCTTCTTGTACTTCTACATCCCCAGTCCTTAAGGAGAGGAGGTGATTTCATATTACTCTGCTAGTCATTTCATAGGAATTCAGAGCATTTGGCAGAAAATTGCCTAATTCATCCACATAGTTTAGGTTTAGCTTATTGACTGTTAAATGAAGCAGTGTCTAAAAGGTAAAAATAATTTTTTCATAAGTTACTTTTCATTCTGCAATGCAGCACAGGCTGCCTCGACACCTATGGGGATATTTAGCCTCTCAAAAAGAGATGAGTATTGTTCTGTTTTATAGATTATTAAATCAAGCCCGAGGACAGTGAGGTCACTTTCTTTAGATTGTGTAATTGTACTATGAGCTCCTTGAGGGTAAGGATTTTGTCTTATGCCTTGCATGCCTATAAAAAATGCTTGAGACATAATAAGTCTTCAATAAGTTTTGTTGAATGAGTTAATTAAATGAGAGCGAACTAGTCCCTCAGTCATCTATTTCAGTGACATAAATCAAGTGGACATGAACTCTGAGTCGTCAGTGGTTTTCTGAACTGAGTTTTAGCCTTAATCTCATTTTAATTTGGAATACTGGGGGAAGAAAAAAAAGGAATAATAGGGAATATAAAATTTCCAAGAGAGAGAACATAGTAATTTTCTCATCATGACAATTGGAGATCTTTTTACAGTTTTAGTTCTGCCCATAGTTAAGCTCAGGTAATTCAGATGATTCAAGAAAATTTGGTCTAAATTTTAATTGTTCAGCTTTGACTGTTTACTGTGGATTGTGTCAAGAAGAAGCAGCAGCAACATATTGATGTTATTAGCCTCATTCTTAACCACAAATCGTGCCCCATTGTGGAGCTCTAGCATTAGTTCATTCTTCTCACCATCCTTCTCCAGGGTGAATTTTCCTTCATTTGTAAACTCCGTCATTGACATGACACATTGCTAAGCTTGTAATCCCAAATTTTTAGTTCTAATCTTTAGTTCTAATTGGTAGTCTAGTTGAGAGGTATGTGGTTTTATTTTTTATTTTTTAACTTTTTAGGAATACATTTAGCTTTATTATAGGAAAAACTCTCTCTCAATTTTTCCATGCTATTTGGTTTTATCTGTAAAAAAATTTTTATTTTTAGTTTTTTAATCATGGTTGAAATTAAATATTATTTTATATTAGTTTCAGGTGTATCGTATAGTGGTTAGACATTTATATAATTTATGACCGATCCTCCCAATTAATCTAGTACTCACCTGACACCATAAATAGTTATTACAATATTATTGACTATGGTACATATGTTATAGCTTTACATCACCATGACTCTTTTATAACTACCAATTTGTACTTCTCAATCCTTTTTCACTCAACTCCGCAAGAGAAGTACGTGGTTTTAAATGCCGGCTTTGTTACCTCCTAGCTCTGTGTCTTTGCATGAGGTATTTAACCTCCCTGGATCTCATTCTCCTCATCTTTAATGTGCAAATAATGATACCACATTCACAGGGTTGGTGGAAATATAAAATGAAAAAAATATTTTGAATTACCCATTGAAGAATTTTTCAGCTTCCTTAATGCAAGCAAACCCAGAGATTTCGTGTTTGACATTTGTGACTTTGGAGATTTTCCTTTTCCTTGAGTATTTATCACAAATTTCTACTCCCACCACTACTGCTCACTTTTAATTAATGCTCAAACCTAAACTCATAGGCCGAAATATTTTAAAATAACAACAACAAAAAAAGAGGAGTGAGGTAAATAAGCATAAAGAGTGACGTGCAGTTAGCTCGTATGGTCTAGCTCTTACATCTTCGTCCATATGCCTGTTCTTGTTCAGTGTCCACTACTGGCCAGACACTGTGTAAGCCCCTGGCTATGAACCACGGTTGTGTAAATCTTTGGTCATAGTGTAGCTTACAGTCCCAGTACCTCCTTATCTCATCTCCAACTTGTCCTTTGTGTGTGTGAGGTCAGGGGGTGGGGGTGGGAGACCATTTTTTTCCTACCTTCTTGAAATGAAATAAAAGTAGAGACTTAAGAGAATGAGGGCCCAGAAAAGGAAGTTAAACAACAGAAAGGACTGGGTAGTTTCAGACTGGTTTGTCCTTTCTAAAACCCACCTCTTTCACAGGTACTTGACACTAAGAAAGTCTACTCACTCCAGGTAGAGACCCCATCCTCAAACAAAGAGGTATGTGTTACTCCCCATATTTTATTTTATTTCATGTTTATTCCTCTCCTTAAAAATGCTCTCATTTTTTTGCCTACTTATTTTACCTGCTTCCTTCAAGATCAGCTCAACTTTTAGTTCAAGACTTCCTGAACTCTCTCAGTCCATTAAGACCTCTGCCTGCTGAGTATTTAGTATCGCATTACTAAGTCGGTATTTATTTTTGCTGTTGTCTAATGCTGCTTGTCTGTTATGGTTCAGTCTTATTTCTCTGAGTGGACTACCCTCCCTGAAAGCAGATGGAGAGTAGCAGGGCCATAAGTTCAATATGTCCTCAGTGAAATTTATAGGCATTGAAAATAAGTTCTTGATGAAATCTCATGTTAAATTAAATGCATATGGTATGAAATTTTCTTTTTCAGGTTTTAAAATTGTTTTCTAGATAACTTAAAATGTGACAATTGCATAGTCAGTAGACATTTTCCCTATTATTAAAATGCACTAGCAAGGTTCTGCTTCTAATAGTGATGAGTAGCTCCTATTGGGTCAACTATTTCACAGACGACAACTGTTAAATCTAGACAGAATGCAAAAAGAACTACCTGAAGACACATATGAATGACCCAAAATAGAAACTAAAGTGGAGATATACCCTTGGCAGAAGGGAATGGCATTGAGCGAATTTCCTATTTTTTAAGTTTCTTTGGCTCGGGGTAGGTGCTAGTTTGGCCCTATGTGGAATGGCTAAAACTCTGGTAGAAATTTGCAGTTTCATTGATTGAAGAACCAGAGGAGTGACCACAGAAACTAGAAAGTGAAGGGGTATATTTTAGAAAGAATTCTGGAGAGCAAGAACCACAAATTCTGTGTATAAATGGCCCAAATATTTGGGTCATCTCTAGACCGCACATATGCAGGGCAGACTCCAAGAATCCAACTAAGTTTAAAATAACTGGATGGAGATATTAGCTGCTATCCACTACAAAGAAACAGTGTATGAACCTCGAGTCCTGTCAAGTTAACTGATTGCTAAAAAACACACACACATATCAAGATTCCTTGGAGGAATAAGAAAACTACAAAAGCATCCATAACCTTTGCAATATATTATTCACAATATCCAGGATTCAATCCAAAATTACTAAACATGTTAAGATAAGAAAACATGACACATATTCAAAAGAAAAAGCAACCAATAGAGACCAACCACAATATGACCAGATTTTGGAACTAGCAAAGAAGATTTTAAAGCAGCTCTGCTCAGGGGTATAAGGAAAAGCATGCTTGTAATAAATGAACGAATAGAAAATATCAGCAGAGAAACAGAAACTATAAAAAAGAAAGAAAGAAATTCCAAATTAAAAAATAAATATCCGAAATAAAAAATCAATCTGATTAGATATAGGCACACCTAACACCCAAATCTTGGTTTCTAAGCAACATTTTCTTAAAAAAGAAAAAAAAAAAAACAGGCTTCTTGGGAAAATGGCTGATTCTAAGGTCTAGGGAAGGGTAGGGAAAATACAGGATGAGCTGGGAGCATCCTGTAGTACCAGAAAGTAAGGAAGTACACAAAAAACAAAAGGATGGATATCTGCAAAGGGATGCTGAGGCCAACTAAAAAAAGCTTATAATAACTAAAGCTGGAACAATCTGAGCAATAAAATAAATAAAGCAGTATTGAATTATAACCTGAAATACAGAATAAATATCCATGAGTCTATATATAAATTAATAAATTAATTTATTAATTTATTGGTATAAATTAATGATTAAATAAACCAACCATGGAGAGAAGAGACAGAAGACAAATCTTCCTTACAGCAGAGGTGGAGCTTAATCCTCCCAAGTTCCCAAGAGGAGGCTAGACTTAGTGACTCACTTTCAAAGAAGGTAGAGAAAGGGGAAAATAATAAATTTATAGTTAGGAACCTGGCAAACTTGACATTAACCAAGTGATTAAGGTTAGTGTTACCAGTGATGTCACATGGACAATCATGTACCCCTTAGTATGATGTGACAAGTAGGTCATTTTACCTGTTATATTGTTTCCCAAACCTACCGGCCCAGTTATAATAAACATATATGGTGTTTATCCCTGTTTCTGGCACAGAAGTTTTATAACACTTGGTTTCTCCAGAGTGATAGGAGTGTCCTTGGTATGCTGATAATACGATCAGTGGCTGGGGAATCCTAAACAGCTTCAGGTGGGAGGCTGATCACCAGAAATACCAAGGCATGGTTAGAGGGTTGGAATCTTTAGCTCTACCACCTGACCTGTAAGGAAAGGAGAGTGGCTGGAGATTAAGTCAATTACCAACGGCCAATAATTTAATCAAGCATGCCTATGTAATGACACTTACATGAAAACTGTTAAAAACTGGGTTTGGAAAACTTCTGGGTTGGTAAACACATCACCGTGTCAGTAAACACAGCCAGAAGGGTAAAGTACCTCAGTCTCCAGGGACAGAAGCTCCTGTGCTCAGAACCTTTCTGGACCCTGCCCTTGGTACTTTTCATCTAAGTATTCAGATATTCTTTATAATAAACTAGTAATGGTAAGGACTGTGCTTTCCTAAGTTTAGTGAGTAATTTTAGTCCATTATTGAACCCGAAGAAGAGTCATGGGAACCTCTAACTTTGTAGCAAATTCAGACAGAGTGTAGGAACCTGTTACCTGTGACTGCCTTCAAAAGTGGGGGCAGTCTTCTTGTATTGAGCCCTTAACCTGTGCAGTCTGATGCTAAGTCTGGGTAGTTAGTGTAAGAGTTGAATTGAGTTGTAGGACACCAAGTTAATGTCAGAGAATTGGTTGGTGTGGGGGGAAAAAACATATATTTGGTGTAAGTATTGTGAATAAAAACATTTCAGACCATTCTCAACATGAGAAAAACATCAAACAAACCAAGATTGGGAAATTCTAGAAGATAATTGGCCAATACCTCTCAAAACTATCAAAGTCACTGAAAATAAAGAAAGACTAAGAAACTATCACAGACCAGAGGAGACAGGGGAAACATCACAACTAAATACAGTGTAATACTCTAGATTGGATCTGGCACAGAAAGAGGACACTAACAGAAAAGCTGTTAAAATCCAAATAAAGCTTGGCATTTAGTGAATAAATAAGGTAAGTTTCTTAAACTTGACAAACATACCATGGTAAATAAGATGTTAAAAATGAGGAAAACCGGGTGAGGATCTTAGTACAGAGGTGAAATTTCACCTCTTCTGTAAATCTAAAATTATTCTAAAATAAAAAGTTTATTTAAAAATAAATAAATGGAGATGATAGAAATATCCATGAATTTGAAGATAGAACAATAGGAAATATCCAATCTGAAGAGAGAGAAAAACGGAACCCGTAACTTTAGTGATGTGTGGACCAATACTGATATAAAAAAATCTAACAAAAGCAAGGTGCCGGAAGAAGAGAGTGAGAATGGAGTAGAAAAAATAAATATTTAAAGAAATAATTGTCATAAACTTTCCCAATTTGGTGAAGGACACAACTTTATAGATCAGGAAGCTCACTTAACTCTAAGGATAAGTGCTAAAACAAAATAAGCAAAAATAACCATACATTATATTCAAAATGCTGAAAATTAAAGGAAAAGAGAAAATACTAATAAAAGTAGTAACATTATTTGACTATAACAATGCATTATAATTTGCAAATCCAAATTTTTGGTATTGAAATTGAGGAGAGGGGAAGAGGAACACCATTACTAAGTACATTAATGCAGCTGTGCCTTTATTGGTATTTTCGTATTTCTACTTTGCTGCTTCTTGTTCTCCAGATTGCAACATGGCTTGAGACATAGTTAATCTGCTACATAGCAGTAGGTATTTTATATTCTCATCAAGTATTATGAGTGAGGAAAAACATTTTAAAAACTCAAGTCTTTTCTATCTAATCTCTGGAAGGATGAGGTTAATATTCAGGAGTTCCACAGAATCTTTTAAAATCCTGTTTATCATGGGGATTTTATCCAGATCCTAGGAGTTTAGGGAGTGTCATCAAATTAACCTCTTGTGAGGAAAACTGAGAAATATGAGCTCTGGCTATACTCAACCTTTCCCCAAATCTTAAACTCTTATGCAGTGATACTAGTCCTTGAGAAATAAAAGACATCATAAGTCTTCTTACTCTACAGTTTCCTGTGTTCTTGAGTCCTCTGGGTCTTTCTTTATCCAAATACATTATTCTTCTAGCAGGCATTTCACTTCTCTCATGGCTCTGGGCTATGTGATGGTTCATATTAAGTGAATGGGCTGAGAAGTCTCTAAGGGGCAGGGTGGGATCTGGTGGTTGGGATGACCGTGGCAGGAAGTAGAGAGTGGGGGATAGAAACCAGGGGCGAGTGGAATCATGGGAAGAATAAAGTAAAAAACCAACCTCCTGACAAGGTTCTGGGCTATGACACAGGGAGAAATACTTGACTTTGCTTAAGCCTTCTTATCATCCTTAGGTATTAGGCCCAAAGCTATACTTCTTTGAGTATGTATATTATGAATTCTATCTCTCATCCTTGTAATGACAGATTTGTCAGCTTCTGTGGATGTTGGCAGATGAGGTATTCGAAGAGAGGGGACCTTTCATCAAGAGGGCACACCCCTGGGAAGCTTGTCCTCATTTCCCCACGCATAAAACTTTCCCCATCAGCACACTTCCCTTTCTTCTCCACCTTGTCTACCACACCCCTCTCTTGCGCAGCGGCTTGCCTCCACCACTCTGAATGAATGCTTCTTTCAGCAAGGGCATTTTTCCACCTGGTTGACTTGATGAAAGCTTTATGAGTTGACATTATGTGAAAAAAGAACAAAGTGAAGTCAGTGCGTGTGTGTGTGTATGTGTGTGTGTGCATGTGCGTGCGTGTGTCTGTGTGTGTTTGCAGGGGCAGAGGTTGTAGCAGCTAAAAAGAGCTGCTGAAAACTTTATTACCAACCAAGAGACATTAGAAGCAATAAATCACTCATGTGTCTGCCATGAGGCAACAGAAAGCAGGGCTGGCTTTCAGGAAGAATTGGACACACATGCACCTCCTCTGAGAACAGTCAGGGGTCCTGTCTCCCCTTGAAGCAGGGCTGGGCATTGTTGCAGACCTTTTCTTTTTATTATTTCTCTCTCTTTTCTTAACTCAAAGAATAAATAAAATTACTAGGAAAGTGTGGAATAAAAGAAAAAGCCATTAGTTGCCTGGGAGGTAGAACTTTTAGTTTATCCCTGCCTGCTGTGAGAAGGTTAAGAAATTAGGCATCTGAAGCAAGTTTCTGAACCAGATGTGTGTTTTTCTCTGTGTGTGTGTGTGTGTGTGTGTGTGTGTGTGTGTGTGCATGTGTGTGTTAACTCTTGGTCTTGAGTCCTCTTAATTTTTCTCTCAATGAAGAAGATAAAGATACTTTGCCCTTACATCATTGCAGGTCTCTTCCAAAAGAACACCAGGCTTCCTCATCACCTTGACCCAGACCTTGAAACTATCCATAGCTGTGATGTAGAGAATATTACAGACTTTTTTCTTATTCACCCTTTCACCCCTTGTCACAGTCCCATCTCTGCTTCAGTCTTATGGAAAGATCAACCTCAAGAAAGATTTTCTCAGCTCACCATAAGAGACCATCAGTTAGGTTCAACATTTGTCTGTTCCTCGTCCTCCACAAAACTTCTAAGCCTTCTTGGGCATTTTTTTTTTTTTGGACACCAAGACTCATCCCATAGGGCTCTGTATATTAACTAAGTTAACTATTTAATTAAACAAGGAGGCCATTAGACCGAAATGGTTCCATTACCTTAGCAGCCTATGTAAGTAAATCAAAACCTAAGCCTGAAATGCCTCAAGGTTAAGAAATGAAAACCTAAGGATGACCAATCACAAAGAGCCAACTAGGATTTTTCCAAATAAAGCAAATGTTTAAGCTATAGCCAATCAAATAATTTTCTTGCTTTGCTTCCATGTCTTTCTTATAACATCTTTCTCCTAGTTCCTGTCTGTGGAGCACTCCTAACTACTTCTGGTTTGGCACTACTCGATTAAAATAGACTTTTGCTTAAATAAAATCTGAAAACTTTTCATATGCCTCAGTTTATGTTTTAACACACCTCAGGCTTTTCACTCTTCTCAGTCCCTTCAAATCCTTTCCTAGTGCTGTTTGTCACCCACAAACTGGTATATGTTCAGACTCCTCGCTGATCTCTTCATTTTTCTGTTTTAGCTGAAGCCTTGCTGCCTGTAGGACACTGACCTGCTGTGCTCTCCAGTGGAGACTGTTTTTTCTCTCAGTAGTGCCTTGGGATGGAGTACTGCCCAACTTCCCCACCTTTGCAGCTTCCAGGCTTTTGTTTTCACCTGCTCTTGAAGCACACACCATTCTCCCCACCGGCTACAAACTGTGTTCCTGGGGTTCCCATTTTCATTTCCTGAAGATTTAGTACTGTTTCTTCCCTGCCCCTCCCCAACTGTGGTGCGTCCTCACCTGACCTATTTTAGTTTTCATTCTTTCATTCTCACTTCAACATTGAGATGAGAAAACCCATCAAATACCCTGGCCTCTCAGTTCCTTACCCTCCTTCTCAATAAGAAAGCATCTTCTACTTCATTTTAGCCGCATATTCCTTTGGTCATAGCTTAGTCTTTACCATTACTACTAATAGTACTACTCTCCTCCCAAATCTTGATTTCTAGCATCCCATCCTTTGATGACCACTTCCTAACATTTCTGCTCATTTCTTCTAAGCAACTTAACTCCAACAAACCTTTGGATTAACAACGATACTTTGTCACTCTTCTTTACAGTACATCACCCACTTTAACCTCATCTTATTCTTTACCCAGGCTTAGATTCCATTGTCCATCACCGCACTTACC